TTTCGTTTCCTGGAAAAAGCAAAAATTGAATTATACACATTTTCATTAATAGCACATCATATAAAATCTACTGACTTATCTCTCACACAGTATAATGTCCTTCTTAAGAAAGCAGAAGACGAAAACCTTTCTGTATGGACTGAAATTAGGAAGATAAACTAGCCTCTTGCACTGATATCATTTATAAAAAACGCGAATTTTGTGATACTTTAATTTAAATATATAACCTGTCCTGGTGGAGCAGTGTCGGATAAAAACTGAGCTAAATCGAGATTATCAAGAGGATATCGAACGGGACGATCATCCTTGGAACGGCGATGTATTGTCATGAGTGATGTTGTGTAAATGAAACGTTTCAACTGGATGATCAAAATAGGAGGTAAGCGGTATAGAACGAGTTGTTTAGTTGCTTCCACATGTTCTTTGCATTTACTGCAGTACCTGAAACTGGAAAAAGTAATAAAATGCAGCCTGCATTTATTTATTTTTATTTTTTTTTATAATAATTTAACTATCACTATCTTTTGGTTTAAACGTAATGATTAACAGATTGCATTGAAAATCTCTTCAAAGAAGCGCATAAGTTACGATGTTTAATTCAGCAATGCATCATTTTAGTGGTAACAGATGTCGCATACGTTTCTGTTACCACCAGAACGATGCATTGCTGTATATAACATAGATTTGGTGACAATTAAAACGTAATTTCAATTATTGCTCATTGCAATTGGATCTAGAAATTAGTAAATTACAAAACATGCCAAGACTCCTCTGGTTTCAGACGTTCAGTTTCTGAGAACATAGATAACATATCGTACAACGATGGATTCGAAGCAATACTACTTGAACTTGCCATTGATGATGACATTTTCTGATAGTGAGCAGTTTTTTCGACATCGATATCCTGTAATAAGATAACTTCAATTTTTGCGCGATTGCTTTATTCAAAATTTTCTCATTTTTTTAATTGGAAAAATGAAAATGGGTGATATGATATTAACGATACTTAATAACTTACCACATCTCTTTTTGTTTCGACTGTTAAATATTCTTTGCCACATTTCAAGTTCCACCAGTTAATTGATAGGAAAGTTCCATTTGGCAAATCCAAAGCTGCTGAAACTTTCTGACTTATACAGAGCATCTTTATATAAGTGTTGTATATGAATGACTTGTCCAGAACATGTTTTTATATACAACATGTTCTGTATAAGTCATAAGTAATCAATTGAAAATTACTTCATATATAAAATTCAACTTTTTCTAATGCAAATTTATTCCTCAATTTAAAAAATTAAAAAAAAAGCAATTCGTTGCATTTTACATAACGACCAAATTATGCTAGTTTTATTCATGTAATAAAATTAAAGTGCTGTATAAACCAAAAAGACTCATATCATTTCTTGAAAATCATATAAAAGAATCAATAACTTCTACCAATCGTTAGCTACTATAAAAGGACAAAGAGATCGTGACTAAATTTTTTATATCAAAATTGAAAGAGCGAATTATGAAACTGGAAAATTATCCGAAAATTTCGGAAAGCAAATCACCATCAGAACGCGAATCAACCAATGTATCCCCAATAACAGCATCCGATTGTTGTAGTTTACGTACTAAGAATAGTTTCGACTCCGTTCGTGATTTATTTCGAGGTTCACCAAGAACCATTTGTCTTTTAGCAGCAACAGGGGTAACTTCTACCTAGAAGGAAGAGAAGGAAGAGAAGTCTGTTGAGAGATTTGTATCATAATTTTTCTTGAAGTTCATGCTTGGACTATCATCGATTTGATGATTTTCACTTATAGATCCTCGGAAAACATTTCACTTTTGGTAGCTACAAAATATGCAATCATACCGGTAAATCACCAATATTTCCATTGATAGCAGATGCTGAAAAGCATGAGCTGGAAGCCACATATGATTCACGAGAAGATTCCAGCTGATCAACAGCTGCATCGTTATTATTCTCAACTGGTGGTTGGAATACATTAACTGAATGTCTAAAAAATAACCGAATGAGCAAACAGAAAGGAAATGAGAAAGTAAGGTATGTTTTTCTTCAATTTTTTGTAAGCAAAGGAGAAACAGAACTAACAAATAATCCGTGACTATTAATAATTTTTAATTCAAACAAGTTCTGTGCATATGTAATAATACTTTCACTAAATAACGTACTCATCACTACGGATAAGAAAAATATTTTTCGGTTATCATTAATATAAAAAATATTTGTAGATAAGAGAATAAAGGAAAACCTTCAGTGAAACATGACTCACAACAAAACTTGAATTTAACTGATATAGTTCACACACTTCAAACTACCAATCAAATCCATTTACTCTTTATGGATTGAAAAATAGGACTAACTTGCAGCGACTTTCCAAATTGCGCATAATGTTTGAATAAGTGGCTCGTTTTCTGGGCAATGAAATAATGAATGGTTGTCCAACAGCTTCTGCTTGAGTACGCGATCTGCAGCTGATTTTATGATCTGGCCAGTCTGCCACTTGACATTCGCTGAAAGAAATAACCGAAAATTCTTTTAAATTATTTAAGAAAACAAAATTAAAAATTACGGACAACATTTCTTTATCAGCAAGGAAATTATTTTCAACATTACCGTAAGCAATACGATGAATAATACAGATGCAATAGAATGAATAAGATTCTTAATTTTAAAAATGTTGTATTTGAAAAGAGGGATGAAAATTCAGTATACATTTTACCTTCCAATTAGATAATTGTGTTCAGAATAGAATTACTATTTTCACAATAGTAAAATGACAATAAAATTGGGCCATTCGTAGTTTTATATTGAAATAAATTATTTCTCTTGTTTTGATATCCTTCTCATAGTAAAAAAATTTTAATACAAAAACGAAAAAATTAAAATTAATTTTATATATCGATTCATCATTTCGATGCTCTTTTCGAACAGATTTATTTTCATATAATGCATATAAGTAATGCAAATAAATCTTCGAGGAGTATCAAAATGATGAATGCATAAAAATTAATTTTTATGAAAGTAAATTAAAATCAAACCGATTGCAATAAAAAGCGTCATAACAACGCTCGCAAGTTTTCAGTTTTACATCTGTAGCCTGACAATAAGCACAAGCACGACCGATACCCTTACGATACAGAAGACGCTGAACAACGGCGAATTCAACAATATCATCATTGCAATCATAAGGATCATGTACTTGAAAGCTGAAGTAATTTAAAAAAATAATTTAAAATTATTCAAATAATAATGAAGCCCTATCATAATTTTCCCTAATTCATCAAGCAAAGTAAATTTCAATCCAAAAATTTCTGAAGCAAACGTTTATGTACCCTGACAAAACCAAATTCCAAATGTGTAATTAAACATATCCTCGAACAATACTCTACAAGCTTACTTATTCATAAGAATTCCACATTTTCAATGGTTATTTGAATACTTGTATCTACACTAGTATTAAAGTCAATATGCTGGACAATTATAACCAAAAAATTTTCATCGTTTCTTAAATTAATTTTAAATTATAAAAATTTAAAATTTCAATTAAGTTCTTAGAAACAGATATTAAGCACAGGAATTAAACTTAAAAAAAAATTTCTCACTCACACATAAATAATGTCCGTGGTAAGTATGTTGTTAGCGCTATCATCTGGATTATATGCGCGAACAATACGATGGTTGTTTACTTCGATTATACGCATCTAAAATTTGTACATGGCTTTAAAAACCATAAATTTCAGTTAAATCTATAGAAACAATATAAGTACTACTATGTTAATTTATTACTGTGTTGTTGATTCATTATTTTGTTAAAACTTACAGATTTCGGATTTACATTAACCAATCGCGATAATGCATCCAGTACTTCTGAAATTTTCCCGTCTGCATTATATCGTACCGTAATCTGCAAATAAACGCAGTAACAGATATAATTTGTAAAAATTCTATAACCGTTAATAATCTTTATAATAATTTATAAATAATTGCAAAAAGTATGATAATAACAAAGAACATGTCAAAACTATTGTTCCACCCAGTTGCTCCTGTTGAAAAAATACAAAATACGTACTCTAACAGGCTTAAGACATGGATCAAGAGGCCAAAAATACACAGTAGAAGAACGTTTTTCTTTTGGAAATGGTACAGCGAGATAAGCAAACGGATCAAAAGTAATGGATATCTGAAAATTAAAAAAGTATCAAGAGATGAAAAAAAACAGGTATTTGAAAAGTAAACTGTAAGCACATGAACCCCATATATAAGAGCTGGATTTAATAGAAATTTATATTCAAAAATGTTCAAGTCGGAACTGAAAGCAATTTATCATAAAATAACTTTCGTTGTAAATTCACCTGATTACATTTCGGACATTGAAGTCTGGATTTCAGTTGACCATGAAAGAGATCCACGAAAATGGAGTCATTACGCAACAGATGGTTATGCCATGCTTCACGCGAAACCTTAATAAATAATTATAAGGGAGATTTATCAAATGCAAATCAAGATTCAAATTCTAAAATAATCCATACTTCAATATCTGGCCGTCCTTCGGCTTCAATCGTGTTCGTTGTAGGCTTCACTCGAACTCGATTAAGATCTTCATGCAATCCGTCCAACACGAAACTCAAAAATTCATGGGCATCATGCTGAGCAAAATTTGCAAACTGCGTAGCCTTCTCGGCGACTAATTCCTACAATACAAACTACACATAGTTTTACTTTATCAGTAACCATGCATATTACGACTGATTCTTAACAAATTAATTAAAGTTTAATTAATCCCTTAGAAATATAAAATTCATAGGATCGAGCCGAGAAAATTTGTAAATTGTGCTTTAATAGTCTTAATAATACCACATGCCTTTATTTTTGTTGGTTCATATGCACGATTCATGCCATTCCACATTTGCTTCATGAATTCCGCAAAAACTTCTGCCAAGCGTCCACCGAAACCAAGTGGATTCATTACATTAATATCTTTCTTATAGTAACCACCTATCATGGAAATCTTTTAGAATATTAATTACGCAATACCTAAGATAAACAAGTCAATATAAATATCATCAAAGTATTTAGTTACTTCTACCGATTACCTGCTAGAACTGCTTATGTTTATCAACTAAGCAAGCAGTGGTTCAAACGAAGACACTGCAAAAAGCAGAATATATAACACATTCTATGGAAAAAGTCAATGACAAAAGATGCATAATCTCTTCTAGCAAAAAGCTCTTCAAAGAAAACTTGATAAAGAAGCAAACAAATAAGTAGAAAATTACTAAGTAAAGCAAATCAATATAACATCTATTTACCGCTAAAGTAAACTTGAAGTTCCTTGCAGTTGACAAGCATCTGTAAAGTGGAATTCATAAAACATGTATTCCCAATATTCCGTAGACCAGTAAAACCACAGTCGACAACTGTTCCTTGCTCATCATAGGGTAACACCTGTATGCAGAATTATTCATTTTATTAATTTTTTGTTCACTTTCTCATCGACATAGTTTTTTTTGTAAGGTTTTACATAATTAAAAAAAAAACTTTATAAAGTCATAGTTTCTGAATTTAGAAGCAATAAAGTTGAATACCTTCTTATTCGTATGATGAAAAGCGCCGAGTGTTGTTTATCTACTTCTCACATAATCACAAGACCTTTAATTTTTTAGTTTAGCAATTATATACATTTTCATTTTTTACACAAAATCACAGACCTTGGCTGTTGGACGACCTGTCGGAGATGGTGAAAGAGGAACAGTTTGTTTCAATGCAGTGTTTGTTGAATGTTGGACATCATTCAATGAGTTTTGAGCAATATTTGAAGAAGCTGAAGAAGCCGATGAAAACAATGACGATGAGGACGACCTGAAAAATTGGAAACCATGTCAAAACTGTGCAATCCAGTTAAAAAATATATGACAAACATTATTATTGCATCAAAATTGGTATCGACTTAAATTTAATACAACACGAACGCAGCAACAAAATAATTTAATGAACCGTTTATTTAAGTTAATTCATTTTGAATGTAGCCGTTTTTTTCTTTTTGCTTAAAACTACGCAAAAAGCTTAAGAGAACAAATAAAAAACTGCAACCTTCGCAAGACCGAATTAGTTGACTGCGATCTTAGCGTTGTTGATGGATAATTTCCATATGTATTAAAACTGAAATTTTGCGCTGAATATGGAATTCGACTAGCAGGGTAATAGGAGGTACGTTGATATTTAGAACCGTGTGAAGAAATCCAGTTCGAAGACTGTCCTGTGGGAGGTAAACCTGACCGATCTGTTGAGGAACCAATGTAACGATATGAAATGCTCGGCCGTCTACAAAATTTAAAATCATCAAAAAACTGAAAAATTTTAAAAACAGCAAATGATAATTAGACAATGTTACCATATTTCTAGCAAGTACAAATATTAAAAATTTTTAACAATTAGAAACATTAAAATTTTACAGTTTAAGCCATATTCAACTTACCTTCAACAAAATTTTTACTTGTTAAAAAATGAAGGAAAACTAACGTTGTATGAGGGTATGCGGTGGATGAAGAGCGCAAAGCCGATAAGGTACTAGATGAGTTACATTGCAATAAGCCTGAACTCCACTGACTTGGATCCCGCTTCTTTAGCACATATTCTCGATCAACAGAACGCATCTGGCACTCCTCTGGTATTATATCATGTGCAAACTCTGCATGCCATACAAGTTGCACGGATTTATCTACTCCATACTTTAACAGAATAGAGTCTCCATCCGATCTGCAAAACAATTCAATGGAAACTAAAAGCAACTGAATGCTATTATGGACATCACCATTCTCTTTTCCTTCCCTCACCCTACATAGTCTTTTCAAACACTCCGTCAAAATTCTGCGATTGCATATTCAATCTTTTATACACTGATAGTAATAAGTTCTTATTCTTTTTACATTAAGTTTCAATTTACTAATAGGCTTTCATTTGCTTTTTAAATATAATTAAGTTGCCTTCAATTCCCTATTCAGATGTTTCTCTGGTACTTCTCCATTATATTTACTGAACACTAGAAAATAGAATTGTTCTATCAACATTCTTAGAAATAATCGTACAAGAATTAATAAATAATTTTTATAAAAAGATTCACACCTCATCCTATTTCTATTTCTAAAATAAAACATTATGTCTTGTTATATTAAATTAAAGAGAACAGAAGCAGTGTAATGATATCAGAAAAAAAAATTATTTTCATAAATGTACTGACAGGCAATGAAAATCGATCTGCAGGGAACGTTCATGGAAAGTGACAGCATCGATAAGGATTTCCTTCTGAGTTACACGAATAACATGCGAATCTGGGGATTGCTTGTATTCGCCGTATTTCAACGAATCTATAATATCTTCAGCAATTAATTATCAAGTTACAATAATTAATCAAATGTAGTTTTATTCATTACCGAAAACTTCGACAACAAAATTTTTAAAGCTATAGAATAAGAACGGTGAAGAAAAAAAAAGACAAGAAAGGATAATTTTAAATTATACTGAAATAAATCGCACAGAAGTGATAAATTTTTCAAAAATATGATCTGCTGGAAAAAAATTTTGATGTCAAGAGAGAAAGAAAATCCGACTAATATTTTTGCTTTCAAAGTTCTAACAAGGTGCAAAATAGTTTTTGTACAAAAACATTTTCAGTAATATTAACATTGAGAAAAAATGAGTCTTAGAGAAATCACAAATTTATTCGGTAGAACTTTTACACTTCATCAGCTGCCAAGTAAAAATTAATTTTTAACATAAAACCAGATCGAAATAACTCAACCGCATGCTTCAATTCAAAATCCTTAAAAACTACTTGAGAATTTGAAGAGTAATAATTCTACTAACCACGAAATTAAATTTTGTTTTCATTCGTACAGCTGACGGGTTATGAAAGTACTTCATCAAATGTATATATATCAAAAGTTTATATTATTTGAAAACGGAAATCTTTTACCAATTCGAAAAACAATGTGAAGAAATTTTTTACAGATATATATACTTCTAAATCCTCCCAAGAGATATATTATAAGTATTTAAGAAGCCAAATTAACATAACTATAATTTTGTTTTTGAAGTTCATTTACAACCATTCATCGTTTATTTTTAAGCAAAAATAGGAGACATGGAAATTCTCAAAAATGGCAGTTCAATAAAAAAAGAATCTTAATTAACATACTCCTCATATCAGCGTCTAATATTCCGACATATTTGACGTCACATGTCAGTTTCATTTCGTAAATATTGTTTGTGAACTCTCCTAGATCACCCCAAATGGAGATAGAAATGCTCACTCTTATTTTTATTTCCATTGGTAATTTTTTCAATCATGTTACCCCAATTGGTATACTTAAAGAACCTAAGTATACTTGAAGTTTAAGTTTCCAATCACGCATTTACTGAAGTCGATTATTTTGGATTTTAATTTTTTTCTAACAAACCAAAAAGATTGCTACAGATGGAACTTTTATAATGAAAAATTTTTTCTCAAAATGTTCATGTGAGCTTTTTATTCACTGAAAAGATGTCTGACTTCGGAAAAAGTGTGCCTGGAATAAATAAGTGAACTTTATACACCATCTATCGGAAGCCACAGAATCAATTTATATATTTTTGGCAATCTAACAAAGAATCCCAAGTGACACAAACTGAAAACTGTGATCAAAATAAACTCGTCGATGACACTCCACAAACTTCCACTCACGAAACACAAAAACACCAAATGCGCACTGTATCAACTCCTAAGATAAAAAAATGCCATAGTTTAGAGACCATCTCAATTTTCATCTCAGTATGACTTTAAAAATAAAAGAACATTTTCTGCTCTGAACCCAAAAACGATAATTAAAGACTTGGAAAAGAACTATCATATAAAAAGGAAAAAAAAAAAACAAAACAGAAAATGAATCAATCAGTAAACAGATGTGAAATCGAAATAGAAATTTTAAACAATGAGGGAACAAAAAAAGAGAAGAAAGCATCTCGTTTTTCTAAAGCATAAAAATTTCTAGAAGAAATGAAAGTTAGTTAAAACCATATGAGAGTTATTTAATAAACACAATGTACAAATAGGAGAAAAAGCAGCTGATCGAGGAACACAAATCGTCGTATTTTTGTATATTTTTGAAGTTATGTCAAAAAGAACACACTAAAATATGAAAAGATAGAAGAATAAGCGAAGAGGAAAAAAGGAAGGGCAAGATTTCGAAGAGATGTTAAAAATTAAAATGTTTCTTTCTAATGTAAAAAATGAAACAGAGAAAAAAACTTTCGCCAAAGACGTGAGATGAAGAGAATGGAGTATTTTCAAGAGTAAGATGCTATCAAAATATCTCTCTAAATATTTTCAAGTGGAGGAGAAAGTGAAGAAGAGGAAAAGAAAGCTGGTAAGAACAACTATATAACAAGTCCTGTATGTTAAACACAGTTCGAGTTTTAAAAGCCCGGCTTAAGCCTTGAGTTTCTTTATCACACTTCCTCCATTCTCTAACATTTTTCCAGTCAATTATTCTTTCTGCCACCACTCACACCTATCTAATCATCTCCTCAACATTTCCACGATCCTTCTTCCTTATTTCCTGTACACTAAACACAGCTCTCTTTGTTTGCTCACCTATATCAAGTTAAAATCAGCAAATTTCTCGTTCATTAGTCCGGAATAACTTCGATCATCCTATTTATTAAAATTATTCACTCGTTCACAGCATAAAAGAAGATCAAAACAAATAGAAATTCGTATCTGAATGACTGGAAAATTCTATTCCTGAAGGCTGGTTTATTTAAGACTACTGGTAGATTCCAATTCCTATGAATGCAAACAGACATCCTACATGCCCCAATGCAATGCAAAAAGATTACGTATTGCATTTTAATAAGTGCTTATGACAGAACCTGAAGTTGATGGACTGAAATTTTAAGTGGAAATTTTGAATTAAAAAAAATAAAAAATGAAATCAAACATGTAAATTAAAAAGTGAAAACAATAAGCACCTATTAAAATGCAATCGTAGCAAATCTTTTCTCTAATAGCGTATGCATGATGATGATTAGAAAAGTACAAAATTTGTTAAAACTTAGCTATTTATTTATTCAAGTAAATTCATGTCAAATTTTCATTTTAATATGCATTAAATAAGATATGTTAGACGATCAGCTTTATATCTATGAAGACACACTTTATTCAATATTAAAACTTCGTTATAAAGAGAAATACTACAACTGTCCGATTAGACACTAGCACGTCTCTAGTAGGCTGCGCCATTACACATCTGACGGAACGACCATGTCTGGACTCTAGAGCATGCTAACATAAACTATCATACCTTTCAGATCTAGACGAATTAAAAGGGAGGCTATCTGACATGTTTAGTTACAACTCCCCTAATATCTTACCTTTTTTTCAATTTTAATTTTAAGCGAATAAGCAGTGCATAATCTATGGAAAGATCAAAAATATTATTTTCTGAAAGTTGAATTTATGAAAATTGAAAGTATCTCTTGAAAAACAGCATTCATAACATACAAAAACCTGGAGTACTAAAATTTAAAGAAAATAAAAATTAAACATTAGATCAGCTCAACCCAATCCACAGACAGGATAAAGAACAAAATACTAATTTGTAAACATAATATCCATACCGATCGATATTATACAAACTTCCGGGTTTGTATTACATTCAAAATCCATCATACCTGAAACCATGACATATAAATCATTAATAGTTCACAAGAAGCATAGAGTAATTGATAGAGTAGTAAAAGATTAACAATTTATATAAGTTCATTTATTCTAATTTCTGAGAAGAGGAAGAAAACATTAAATATGCAATGAGCATCAAATTCAAACCATCGTCATTCTGGTTGCTATCAGAATTTGTTCCCATTGCGTCATCCGTTTCAAGTATAGTACTGTTAAAATTCTTGCAAGCACTACCATCTTCATCCTCGGTCGTTTCTTCCATATCAATTAGATCATCGCTCTTCATTGTCTGCATGTCCTTTTTCACAATTTCCCAAGTAAAATTTCTGCAAAAACGATCGAATAGAACAAATCAATTAAGTTTACATAACGCACGATTATGACGACGACAATAAATCTATCTTAACATATTTTATCTAATGTTATCAAACTCGTAATAAGCAACCGAATATGAATTTATCACTGCTACGTTAATTATACATGACACTCTGATTTGTTTATTTTCAGTTAATCTGATTACTTACCATCCTATATAACTACCGATCAGATTGCAAACGTTCCAAATCGTTTAATTTGTATAAAAAGAACATTCACAATTTGAAGGATAGAAAAATTTATATCACTAATTTGCATGAAGTTTTTGCGAAAGTGCATTTTTGATACAAGTTAAATCTCAGAACTATAAGAATATTGATGAATCCTATCAAATTAGCACATTCTTAATTCCGAATCTTTCGTAGAATAAATTTGTTCACCCTATCTAATATGAGATAAAGCTATGTTCCCAATTATATTAAATTATATACTCAAACAGTAAACAATAATTAATAGCAACGTCACTATGACATTTTGCAAAAAAAGAATTATCATAAAGCGAGAAATAAACGGTATTAGAGCAAAGATGCAGCACAGCATTGCTACTACAATTCTAATATCAAAAAGCAATGACACCAATAATATCAACTAATAACATCAACAACGAAAATGAAGACTAATTTTGTATAAGGAAATCTCTAATATTATTGATAATAATGTTGAATAACCACAGAAAACTCTATCATCAGCCAATCAATGTCAATTCATTTCTAACCTGAATGCCGGAAACTGTTACAGACAAATCTAATATATATCTGTTCTCAACACTTTTCAATTCAACCATGCCGTTTTTCCATCACTTGATCGGTCTGATAATAATCTGTTCCATATATGTATATGTAATCAATGATAACAAAGAAAATTTTACTTCTAATTTAACTAAAGTTAAAATCAAATATCTTGATTGAAATTAAATTCAATTAATTTTGAATAAAATATAACACAATAAATGATATAATCGATGTGTAATATGTGTAATGTAAGTAGCACTTAACAACAAAACATAATATATGTGAAAGATCAATGTCTCGGCAATGCCATAATTTTGATTTTCATTTTAGCACATATTATTTCAGCAAAATCTTTTTTCTATTTAAAATGCTTTACAAATTCAATTTAAAAAGTTTGACAAATAAATAAGCAACAGAGATGTTAATTACTTACCTATTCAATAATAAGCAATGAAAGAATAAAGAAGGCAGAATTCGAAAATTTCAATAATTTTAGAGTTGGGAAAGAAATGAAGTAGCCTAACCGTCTTCCTCTATCAAATATCATCTAAATGAAGCACTTATTTATTTCGCAACCTTTTTCAATCATATTTATGACGTATGTGCAAGCCGTATGCAAATACATAAGGAACGAAGTTCATTAATCAATAAAAAGGATCATAAACAGTGAGAAAATATCGTAGAAAATAAACAGTCCATGTCGATCAATATTTTTCATTTCAAATTACATATAAGAAAGATAAGCAAAATCGATTTGAATGAAACAATTATATCAACAATCCAAACGACACGTAACTGAAAGACGTGTAACACGCCGTGTATACAATGTATATATACAAACACACACACATATACACACACACACATATACACACACACACACATACATACATAGGCATACACACACGCACAGATTAGGCAAATGCTCGTACACACATATTTACTGGAATCGATTTGTCCGAAATGAATATACAGAATGCATTGTGCTTACTAAGAGTCATTAATGGTGACGTAATTTGATTTTAACAAAAGAGTAAAACGGTCCGGTTACACTTCACATGTGAGGTAACGTAACAAAAGACAGCAGCATTGATTGTTGATTCATGACTGTTTGACGTCCACTTATACGAACAACTGATTCACGTCAAAGTTAACTGGATGGGAGAAGAAGCGTAGAATTGAAAATTGGCATAGTATTTTCGCAGTGTGATCCCGAAACAGACGTAAGACTATCTCTCCGATACACTGCAACTGACGTGACAAGGGTAAAATGAAGCACACAAATTTGATATTTTAATGGTAAAATCCGGACAGTAATTAGTGGTCGGACGGGAATATTTTGTCGTATTGACTATGGAATATTAATTTCAAATTTTGCTCAATTGAGAATTAACTTATATACTGGTTTAAATGATACGTAAATATCAAGCTAAATTTACTCATCGATACCATGATACATTAATTATCGTTTCTTTTGCTTATGTAACGAAAGTTAAAAGAATAAATCAGTGTTAGTTGTATTCCAGATGTTTTGGATGTGAATAAGAGATACGTGAAACGATCTATAATGACGTCAAAATTTGGAGTTGATTACGCTAAACGGGTTGCCAAATGTAAGAAATGTCAGCAGCAATTGTTCAAAGGGGTATGTTTTATATTTGCTTCGCTAATGTTGAGGAAAACGTGTGTATTTTCACGTTTTAGGTCATTATTTTGCTATGTATAGAAGTGCAAATTACGAACGAAAACAGTATTCTTTTTTCTTTCTTTTCGCATGTTGCTAGAATTTATTATCTCTTTCAAAATTTTGGCATCTGTCTGTGAATTTTGTGAAATTTGGCATTCATCTCTTCTGCAAAATTTCTCGCGTTACATATGAATTCAGTTTCTTATTTATTTTACGTGTTTTAGATTATTTAACTGTTCATATCAAACTGGAATGTTTCATTTTATCTATTTAACAACGAATTCAGTTTCTTATTTATTTTTTCCTAGGATTTACGAATGTGGAGAATGGTACCCAATCCTTTTACAGCAGATTCTGGAAATCCAACAGAAATGAAGAATTATTTTCATGCAGATTGTCTTTTCGAAACACTTACACGTTGTCGCGCTACAACGAAAGTCATTGATTCACCGGATGACATCGACGGTTCCTCAAAATTAGCTATGATTTTTTTGTAGTAACAAACTTTTTTTTACTTTTTGTTCCCGCTAAAAAATGATCTTGCAGGTTGGAATGCTGCAAACGATGATGACAAAGAAACCATCTTAGAGAAGATTAGGAGTCTTTCGGAATTACGATTGAAGAAGTTTGGAGATAAAGTGAATATTTCAACGTCGTCTCCTTCAAAAGATACGCCCAAATCAGCTGCTTCTAGGAATATATCTTCGAGAAAATCAAAAGGTGAAAAAGCGCAAACGGTCACTTCTCCTCGGAAGAAAACAAAATATGAAACTTCCGAGCAAGTTCGGGAGGAAATAATTTCCGAAAAAGTTGATGAGAGCAAAGCAAACATTTCCAACATGAAAAAAGGGCTGTCAAAAGCAGAAATTTTGGAAGCAAGTAAGCCAGAGGATAATATTCAGAAGATGGGAAGCAAATTCGATGTATTCAAATTATTTTGCAAACTTTGTGACGTGATTGCATCAGTGTCGAAATATACCGAAAAGACTGCAGCTGTTAAGATATTCATTAACAAAGGTATGATTAAACTATATATATATATATATATATATATGGATGCTACTTTGTTTTGCAGCGTAGGAATTTCTGATCATAGAAAAAGGTTATTGATAAGATTTTTGATAAATTCGTGGAAGTAAAACGCAGGTGTTTTTATCCAAGCTTTGCTTTCATCTTTTCTTGATTTTTGGATTTCCACGGGTAATGGATGAAAAGTTCTTCCAGAAGTTCATTTCTCTAGTATAAAAAGTCTCACTCCATTGCTATTATCACTCAGTTCAGTAGCATTATAAATTGCGTTACTTTTTTATTAATGTTTGAAAAATCGATTGAATCTGAATTTAATCAATAAAAATCAAATTTTTAATCATTTATTTTAGAAGGATATGATGGCGACCTGTACTTATTGCTCAAATTTTTAATTCCAGAAGCAGATCAGAGAGTATATAATTTGAAAGCAAAGCAGATCGTAAACACCTTTTCCTCTGTAGGTATAAGAATTTAAATTTTATTTTTATAATTTATTACTACCTAGACTTTTTTCACTGGAATGGGCTGCTATTTCTCCAAAATATACATTTAAATAGATCTCATAGTTTTTTTTTAAAGATGTTTGACTGGTCAGTTAACGAATTGACAGAATCGTACAATCAAACAGGTGATGTGTCTCAGACAATATGTTCATTTTTTTCGAAATTTGGTGTTGATCGAAAGAAATCGAAAGTGACAAATCAGATGGTAAGCTGAAAATATGAATGGACAAACTGTTTGTCGAGTTCAATTATGATTTTTTGTTATGATATTATGATTTTTGGTTTATTTTTATGACTTTTTTGGGAGCAGACCTCTATCTTTATTACTCAGAGTGAAATGTGTGAAGTTCAGGTAGACGATTGGTTAGAAAAGTTGACTGGACTAACACGCGAAAAGGAGCAACAATCACATTTCTCAAAAATATGTGAATTGTTAGTGACTGTTTTGAATAATCAATTTTCATTTCCTTCCGTTAAATCGAAGAGAAAAATAATCGTTTCAGATTATTTCATAATTCATGCTAAATATATATATATACATATTCTTGTATTCCACGCATAGGTAAGTCCAATTTATATAATTGCAGAGTCTCGTCTCTGGAATTGAAATATATTATCCGTTTAATAATGAAAGATTTGCGTATAAATGCTGGCGCAAAACACATGTAAGTGTTAAATTCACTTGTGACTTAATGCATCAATTTAATTTACGCCCTACATTTTATCCTGTGTATTTTCTAATCTGTGCAATCTCGTAAGTATTACTTTTATGTAAAAATATCAAAGTTTCCTCTAAGTTTATTGCTGAAATGTATTTCCATGACTAGAAAACAATATTTTTGTTATTCAATACAACTGAAATCACTCACCCTTCTTTGAGATTGGAAGGCTTAAGGAAAGGTGCGTTTGAAATGTTCCAAAATTCACAAAATCTGCAAGCAGTCATTGAAAAGTGTCAGCACACTGATAAAGAAAAGTCACCGGAAAGTGGCATAATTTTGAATACGCCAATTAAGCCTATGCTTGTAAGTTTTTGCATATCAACTATTTTAGCTTGAGATACCGTACTTCATTTCTCAATTTAAGATTGCTATAAAAAGCTGAAACGAATAAGCGCGAAAAAAAATAAACATTCAGCAGGAAGAATCCTCTAATTCCTTCTTTTCTGCAAAGTCAAGATGACCATATTTTAATTGATGATTTCTGGATTAAATTGATATTATGAGTTCATTTAATTTTTGAAGGCCGAACCATGTCAAAGTGTTAAACAAGCAATGGAAAAGTGCAACAAAGAAATGTATGCTGAAATCAAATATGATGGAGAGCGATTACAGTTGCATAAAGATGGTAGCAACTTTATGTTTTTCTCACGATCGCTGAAACCAGTATTGGATCATAAGGTTCATGAATTTTCATAAAGATTGCTTTTCTGCGCAACATTTGATAGAAAATTATGATGAAAAGGTAACTCTTGGAAACCTGAGTAAATATTTGCAAATATTCTTACATATTCGCATTTTTATAATTCTTTTTTTTTTTGAACGACATTAACTGAAGAACTTAATTGTACGCTGCTTTTCTAGGTCGACGATCTAAATGAAGTAATCTCGGAAGCATTTCCAACAAATAATTTAATTGTTGATGCAGAAATGCTATTGGTTGATACAAATACTGGGAAGCCGTTACCTTTCGGAACATTAGGTATCCATAAAAAGAAGAAGTTCAAGGACGCAACAGTTTGTTTGTTTGTTTTCGACTGTCTATATTACGACAGCAAATCTTTAATAGAAAAGTTAGTGTCGATTACTTTTATTGAGAAATGACATAATCGGACTATTAAGCTTCAATTTTTAATATGCTTCAGTGTTCGACTCATTGAAAAGACCTCTTCTATGTTAAATGTAATAGGTGAAGTATTTTTATGAAGGTATTATCATAAAAAAAGTGGAACCATTATATATAAGTGTTCTTTTTTAGGTCATTAAGGGAACGGCGAAAATTTCTAGAGGAGAATATGAAAGAAATTCCAAATCGTGTATTGTTGTCCAATTGTCATCTTCTTAAAAAAGGAGTAAGTCGCAGAAGTTTCTTATTTTTTGCTAATTACTAAATTTGATTTCATACATTTAAATAATTTTGGAGTGTTACAGGAAAATGATAAATTAGAAATGTTAATCTGGAAAGCCATTGATGAAGGTCTAGAAGGTTTGGTATTAAAAGATTTGGATGCAATTTATGAACCTGGAAAAAGACATTGGCTAAAGGTAAATTCTAACTTCTAAAAGAATTTAGCTGTGTATCAACTTATGTTGAGTTGAATTTCAGAAATTTTAATTTTTACAGGTGAAGAAAGATTATTTGAAGGAAGGTGATATGGCAGACACAGCTGATCTCATTGTGCTCGGTGCTTTTTACGGAACAGGAAATAAAGGTACTAATTCCCTTTGCTTTCTCGAAGTTCGTTCTCTTTAATAAATTCTTATTGTTTTTGTCCAATATCAATTTATCTTTTATAATGAAAATATTTCTATGAAAAACATTCTTCATCATATTAATTAATTTTTCATATTTACTGTTGTCATTTTTTGTCATTTTTGTAGGCGGCACCATGTCAGTGTTTTTAATGGGTGTATATGATAAGGAAAAGCAAAAATTTTGCACAGTAACCAAATGTGGCAATGGCCATGATGATGCCACACTAGATCGGATCAATAAAGAATTAGAACCAAAAGTAATCAATCTGAATCTTATTATACTTATTTAGCAATCATATATTTGCAACACTTTTATATATAAATTTGCCTGGAAATTTTTCAAGCCATATTTGAGGTATCAGAATTTTTATTATATTTTTTCACAGCACACTATGTTTTTTCAAGATGCACAAGATATCTCGAATATACGAAGATTTACCGGAATGGATTGAATGTTCCCGATCAATTGTCCCAGATTTCATTGTTGTAGACCCTAAAGAAGCACCAATATGGGAAATTACAGGTACTTGCAATTATAGTATAGTAGGACTTATTTTCTTTTGCTCGTTTTCCATTCCACTCAATAAGCAAAAGATTTAACATAAAACTACATTTTAGGAGCGGAATTCACGCGATCAGATAAGCATACGGCATCAGGCATATCGATACGTTTTCCGAGAGTAACAAGAATTCGAGATGATAAAAATTGGGAAACAGCTACTAGCTTGCAAGAACTTGAGGTAATATTTTGAATAATGTTCAGAGATTGATTACTGGGAACTCAGGAACACTTTTTCGTTTAATCTTCATTAAAATTTTAGGAATCCTAAATTTTGCTGAAGTTTTGTATTACTCTCTCATACCTCGAGTTCGTGGGTATAATGTTGATGTGAGATATACTGGCTGATTTCGAAAGTTTCTAACTTCAATTTTGATCTCACTTATTAGCAGTTTTGATCAAAGTTAAATCAACTTTTTTCATGCAAGCAAGAAAGTGCTAATGTCTTTCATTTTTCTATTTTTATCCTGCTTTTGTAATATGCCTTAATTACTACATCAGTTCATCCTTAATTTAGAGGCTGTTGGAACTTTCAAAAACAAAAATCAACAACGAGCTAAAAATTGATGATACCATACCTCTTTACGCAAAAAATAAAAATGGTGCAGAAAATGATGCGAAATCTTCAATGGAAAGAAAAAGGAAACACGAAGCGGTTAGCGAGAGTTCTAAAAATGACGACGAAATTGTTGTTGGCAGTGCGAAGAAAGGTGATAGTAATGGGGAAACGAAAACAAAGAAAGCAAAAATACCGTGCAAGTTAGTATTTGTGAGATAATTAGTCGTGGCTTTTCTTAAAGGTAATAAAAGAGTAAGTTATCTGTGGAAAGTAATATTTAATTGGTAACTTCCCACTATTATTTATGACATAATGTTCTGTAATGTAACATATTGCTGTGTTCGTGACATAGAAACTTAACCGCTTCATTTTCTCTGCAATTGGATGTGATTAGTATTTTTTTGTAACATCCATTATTTTCAAATTGTCGATTTTAAATGCAAGAATTTTAGATATGGTGCGCAGTGTTATCGAAAGAATGTAGAACATCTAAAGCGATTTCAACATCCGAAATGAGCTGATTTGGTTAGGAAATGTACATCTTTATTCACTATCCTTTTTCATTTTTGTATTATGAAATTTTTAATCTGCAGAAATTTTACCATTGCGAGTAGTTTAATCCAATATCTATAAAATAGCTTTACTTCAAGTTTTGATATTTACTGCTTCAATATCAATGCTTTATTCTACTATAATTCTAACCCTATTTCAGTATGGATTTTACAAATTTATGCGCTTTTTACACTGTCGTTTTTTGAATAAAGCTAAGAGTTTTAATCTGATCGTTGATTGATAAAAGAGTTTTATTTTATAGGCATTCTGTAATTTAAAAAATTGTAATCAGTTTAAAAAATTTATCGGAGTTCACAATGAACGATTTCTTTACGATGTGAAGGAATAAAGAGGAAGGCTAAAAAATTCTTTTCTAAAATTTACATAAAAGGGTGATCTGGAGAGAATCTTGTATAAATTTACATTCGAGATTAGGAACTGTTTTAATCAACAAAATTAAAATTTTAATTGCTGTAAAGATTATAATTAAAAAATTTATTTGATGAACTTATCGCAGATGTTAACACATGCCATGCTGAAAATGAAGTATTTGGTGTGTTAAATATTTTCCTCCAATGCTGTACACCTGCTGAATTTCCCTGTGGGCCTATTACAAGATGACCAATTTCATCAGCCTTTTTCGTATTTTGGCAAACCTAAATTTCAATACTTCTCACATAAACTGTTATATGGTGCAACTTTATGTAATTTCTTTTTCTGGCACTACATAAGTAATAAACTACTTATCATCATCAGTACTTGCCATTACCAATTGAATCATCGTAATTAACACTAATATTATCATGCATTGATAATGATAATAAAGTGTTGTTTTCTTACTTATGTACACTATCTTCAAAAAAAAAAAAAAAAATTGGATGATATTTGTTTCATCTGTAATGTTTTCTATTCATTCTTTTTATTAACTTTTGTCTGAATTCTTTTAGTATTATGCATATAAATTTTCCATGCTTAATTTTTTACATTTCAAAAATTTTACAAATTTTAAGAGAAAAACCTTAATGAGAAGATTGGCATCGTTGGAATAAAAAAATGTGATTGGTACATTGAATTCCATTGTTGTTTTGAAATAAATATTTGATGCATAGCATTTTCTGGATATTTCATATTTCTCCAGTATTTTACAATTTTGCACCAATTGTGTACTGAGGAAAATATCTGCAAAAATGGTCTCTTTTTTTTTCTCATTTTTTAGAGATTATTAGAAAATGTATCTTTTCTTTAGGATTATCAATTAGCAATCAAGAAAGAGAAAAAAATTGTAAGATATCCAGTAATGAAATTACAATTAGAAAAAAAAATGGATAGATAAATAGCTTTGTTGAGTGTTTAAGTGGTAAAATGATTATTAAAATTATCCCGAAACATTTGCAAAATTACCAAAATCATCACATTTTCATTAAAATAGACTAAATGTGAGTAGCATACCGCAGTTTTGTCTTCCTACGATATCTTTAACTTGAATGAGATCAACAATTAGCCTGTTCTTTATAAGACTATATTGTAATGTTAACAATACCTTTCCAACAGTATTCTGCAATTTTACAAACATGAATAAATCCAGAATAAATTCAAATATTTTCAGCTTATTTATAACTATTGTTTTGCTTCTTTTTTCCTTTTGCCTTATTTTTGATATCAATGATAATAATAATTGCGGATGTTCATTTGCAAATAAGAAAAAATGATATGAAAAGGAAAAAAAAATAATAGATTTTCTTGACTTTTAAAACATTCAAATGTAACAGATAACCGACAATTATATTTTAAGTATTATTAACCTGTGAGAATGGCTGAACATGAAGCGGTGCTGCACGTTGTATATGTTGCCATACCATTGGTGTATGATAAGTTGATCTATTCATTGTTGGTAGAAAGATAGCACAGAAAGGATTATCACCATCATTTTCCAATAAATGCATTAACATTGCTGAATTATCCGATGAGTCCATATCTTGTCCTTTATAATAATAATCAAATTATAAATATTTCATTTATAATTTTTCATTTTCTTTTACTTTACTTTTATTATTATTGTTATTATTAATTAATAATTAATAATTAATAATTAATAATTCGTTAGCATCATTAGAAAAAAAATACTTTTGACTCTTTTTGAGCAATAATTACATATCATACCAACGTGTATTACGTGCAAATGCTGATATGTCTGCGTGTGTGTGTGTGTGTGTGTGTGTGTGTGTGTG